GCCAAGACCATTTCACATCACCTCCTAACCCAAACTGAAAGCACGACCAGATAACGATGAAACACAAGAAAAGGACATGAGAGAAATGGCCACTTTCACAGTTCAGGGGAATACACAATAACCTACAAGGAAAATACCAGCAAAATGCTGTAACTCAATCATGAAATAAAGTTAATGCAATGCAAGCTTGCAAAAACAATGAGATATACAGGAAACTTTCCTTTATCAAAATACATAAGTACATTCTTAGATAAGATTGTGTATATGGTATTTGTATATTCTTGAAAAATTGTTGCATGGGGAAGTGTATAATATTACCCACAAACCCAACATCTTTAAACTTAGCATTGTTTAAATTGTAAATATGATGAAATGAAAGACGCACTTTGCACCTGCAAAGACCAAAACAGGAATAATGGTATTTGAGCACTAAAACATAAAATAATATCAGGTATTCATTATGATTCAGATACCAACAACTGTCTAAATGCACTGTAATATTGGTGAAATTCTCAGTGAAGCAAAAATATAAATATAGGGAAAATAATTAAATATGAAATTATTCAACTCTTCAAATTCACTGAACAATCCAATGTAAATCATGCACCTGTGACTGACCGCATGACCAAAAAATCTGACCCCAGGTTCTAACCAAGATCCTGGCTGAATATGGTCCAAGCAGACAGTACTTAGGTTCCTACCTGCTGAGGAGAGGAGATGCTGCAGAGAGAAGAAGACGAGGAACAGGCAGCTCCCCATGTTTATCAGGGCAGATCAACCTCCTCCTGTGTGATGTGGAGACGCCAACCTGCACCCTGTGCTCTGAGAGCTTCTGCTGAAGGTTCCAGCACCAAGTGAAGACTCAGCCCCCACCAGCCTCAAGCCCACCAATCACAATCAGCCCAGATCAGCCTCAAGCCCACCAATCACACTCTGCTTTGCCTTATTAGACACACTGCAGGAAACTCCCTAACAGTTTAAACAGGTACAACGACTAATCAGAAGTTACGACTGTAGACGTCTCCATATATACCAAAACTGTGTTACTTCCGTGGACACCTCCTACAACTTGAAGACACAACCGGAAGCTGATAAAACGCAAAGAGAGGAAAAGACTGAGAAATAATGTGCCTTGTTTAATACGATCAGTGGGTTATTTAATGCAAATATTTGTATTTGATTTATTAATGAATGATCTATCTTCAACGAATAACATTGTAGGTTGGCCTAACAATTATTCGTTTTACTAAAGTACAGTGACTATTAATCTAGTCTCATAGTTAAAATCTTGCAGATTCAAATTAACATAATAAAATAAGAATATGTGAATCATATTCTTTTTTGTTTTGTGTTGCATTGTGTTGTGCATAGTGTACACGCACCTTCCACTGAAATTCCTGCAGTGATAAAGTGATGCTAGTTTCATTCATCCACCAAAAGAACATTATCCACCACATATTGGGAATCAAACCCACAACCCTGGAAGGGTGAGGTGACAAGCCTGTCCAATCAGGCAGTTCATGACCTGCATGCTGCATACAGGTATATACATTATACAAATGAAAGCGTCTACTAAGCAAAACTAAAGAGTGTAATATCCTGACACAGACACTCCATGCTGCCTGAGCACATTCACTCTGTAAATGACGTAACTCTGCCAATGTGACGGCGGCGTTTGCAGCTTCTCTTGTGGATCCAGCAGCGTCTGTCAGCGCTGAGGAGCAGGAGGTCATGCTCTCACTGCAGCGTCTGAGCAGATGAAGCAGCTGCCATGCTGCTCATTCTCCTCTGATCTCTGCAGCTTCTCTCTCTCTCTCTCTCTCATTCTCTCGCTCATCATAGAACCAAGAGTCGTCTTTCCTCCCCACACCTCCACTCTGTACTTCCTCCTCCCTCATTCTGCGGTCTTACGCTGCCTAATGGCACGAAGTTTCTCTCTCATCTGCTAGGTACTATGATCCACTATCTCTCAATTCCATCTCCCAGCTCTTTGCAAGGCACCGTAGCTTTCCTTTTTTTAACATGTTTCTGCTATTTTCAGAAATACACCTGTGGTGAACAAATCTATTTATAATTTTAAAGCGGGAAGTCCTTGTCACGTGGCAGTTTATTTATATGGAACTTAAGTAACATTGGTAACTAAGGTTTTCCCCTTTCATCTTAATGTGTGTGACTCTAAATATCTGGAGAGAAGCATGTGCTAAGCAAGCTGTAGAGTATGTTCTCCTATAACACGTGTTTTGGACAGTTAGTTTACGAACGACGTCTTTTGCAACAAGCGCGTGGGACCTGTATCACGAAGCCGGATTTCTTTTATTAGCGGGACAACTTGTCAGATTTATACGGAAGAGGATTAGGGCCACCATGAAAATATTATTCGAATTCTGACTTTAATGTCAGAATTCTGACTTTTTTTCTCAGAATTTTGACTTTAATCTCAGAATTCTGACTTTTTTTTTCTAAACTAGCCCTAATCCTCTTCCGTAGATTTAAGGTAGCCCAGTTTAAATGGACTGTGTCTTCGTTCATTTTTAACCCAGACTACCTGAAATCCGACAAGCCGGCTAACCAAGAAATCCTGCTTTGTGATACCGATAAATACAGAGAACAGCATCGAGATTAACTGACCCGCGTAGGAAAACACGGAATGCACACACCTCAGACACCCAACTACTGCATTAGATTATCGCGTGTATAATCCCTCAACTGTTGTTTTGCTATTCTTCTGTCTTTGCTAGTGTTTATAATAATAATAATTTAAAAACTCATCTAACGGCCCAAAACACGTCACTCAAAACAGCCCAGCAGTGAGTGAAAAGTGCGCTAAGTATTAAGAAGCTTGATATATTAATGCATTTCAATGGACCATATCGTGAGAGCAACAAACATAGAGGACTCATCGTTGTGCACCATAGTATCCTCCTTCCCCTACCTCCACCAGCAAACTTATAGGTCTTAAGTCTCAGAGTAACTCGACCTATTTACCGCAGGACTTACTGTTTCTTAGCTATTATTTATAACTCTGTGCCATCATTCATTTTACGTTACTGTCTTTTTGTGTTTTCTTTCAGCCCCACTTTCGCGCAATCCCTGATATTTCTGTATTTGCTTAACGATAGGCTTTTCGGGAGAGCAAATATCACGTTTTAGAAGAATATATCCTTTAGAACCAGCGTGGGAACAAAAACGTACTTTTTTAATGTAAAACAGTTCATCTAAGAAGGCACTTGCAACGGACAATATTTTCATTCTTTGAGTAAAACTAAACAACACAAAAAGACCAGAAAAGTATACACAGATTATTATTTTTTTTATTAAATTTTAAAAATTAAAATTGGTATTTTAAAAAGGAAGAAACGACGAGTATTATGAGAAATGTGTATTTTAATGCTTGAAGAATATGTTTATTAAAATTATTTTACTTTAAAATTTAAAATAAAAACATTCGTTTCGCTGACAAACAGTTCTGCCCCTCCCCCAGACCTCTCCCTCTCACAGAAGCCCCTCCCCCACATCGTCATAGTTAGTGATGTCATCGTTAGGCAGCCCTCCTTCTTGGGTGAACGACAGCTCAGTCATGTGTCCTACATGGTGACTGTGGTGGAGATCTGTCAGAGAGGCACACAGACACACAGACCTTTGGGTGAATGTGTATGTAGCTCTGATATTGAGGAAGAGGCAGCATGACGCCATGTTTCATTTATATTATGTATAATATTTCAAAAAGAACCTTTAGGTTCCATAAAAAAGCAACATACTGTATATCCAAGTAGTAAGTGAAATACTTGTTATAGTGTGACACTTGAGATATTCATAATTCCATGTTTAGTAATAACAATCAGCATAACAGAAGGCCTGGGCTGAGATTATATCAAACTCTGTCTAATTGGAGCAAAGTGACCAGCTGATCCCTTTAGAGCCGCTCACCTGGCTGAGAGTCAGGGTGA